TGCTACTGTGCCTCGATGTCTGGGGTCCAAAAGAGCTAAAAGAATTCACAAACTTTTCAATCTCTTTAAAGAAGATGTCTGCCAATATTCTGTGAGAAATCTCCTAAACAAAGAAGATAAGAAACCTAGGACCCAAACACCCAAGTTTCTGCGTCTTGTAACTCCATGTGTCCAGCAACACAAACAGCATATTGATCTGAAGAAACAACATACTAAAAAAAAAGTAAGGAAGAGGCCACAGAATATGCAAAGGTTTGGCTAAGAGAATAAAAGAGGCCAGAGAAAAATGCCAGGAACAGACTACCAAGAGACATAAGCTGTGTTCTCTGAGAGCTTCTACCTCAAAGTCTGAGTCCAGCCAAAACTGAGATCTTTCTATGAGTAACAAATAAATAAGAACAAACATCAAACTTCAAAAAAAGAAAAAGAAAACAGTGGGATGATATCTTCATTGTGCCAAAAGAAAATAACTGCCCAGTGAAAATTCTATGTACAAAGAGAATATATATTTCCAGAATGAGGGAGAAATAGAGGCATTTTTAAACGAGCAGACACTGAGACAGATTGTCACCATAAGACCCTTACTACAGGAATTTCTCAGAATACACTTCAAACAGAAGGAAAAGTGATCCTAAAAGGAAGGTCTAAGATGCAGGAAGAAATAAATAGCAAAGAACATGGTAAATATTGAACAAATGGAAACCAACATTGACTCTATAAAACAGAATAAATAATGTTTAGTGGTATTAAAAAATAAAAGAAAGAATTAAAATACTAGACAGCAAAAGCATATACATTGGGAAGGAAATAAATAGACTAAACATATTCTAAGCTAATACTTGAAAGGGGGTGAAAAATTTGATTAGCTTCAGCCTTTGATAAGTCTCATTGTTGTAATCTTCAGTAAGCCACTATCAGAACAATAAACAAAGTGTGTCACTTCCAATGTAGAGAAAAATATAGAATAATGAAAGAAAAGAAAAAGCAAGACATATTGAGGAAAAAAAAAAGCAAAAACCAAAAGAAACATGCACTATGGGTCGATTTACATACATTCAAAACCAGACAAAGTAAACTATATTTTTAGGGTTATAGATGTAGATGGAAAAATAATAAAAGATGATGAAATAATATCTAAAATGCAATTTAACTCTGTGGCAGTGGAAGAGGTTGTGATGGCACAGGGGCAAATGTCAGGGCAGAGGGTTGCTGGAGGAGTGGCAGGGTCTTGGTCTTGACTTGGGGGGTGGTGATGTAGAGTTTGGTGAATAATTGCATATATACATATATATAATACACTTTACTAAAGATGGTTTCTGTATTATTTTCCAATGACAATATTTAGACACTTTAAACTGAGTTAAAAATCAGAATGTGGCACTGGCTGGCATAGCTCAGTGAATTGAGCATGGGCTGCGAACCAAAGCATCGCAGGTTCAATTCCCAGCCAGGGTACATGCCTGGGTTGCAGGCCATGACCCCCAGCAACTGCACATTGATGTTTCTCTCTCTCTCTCTTTCTCCCTCCCTTCTATCTCTGAAAATAAATAAAAAAATCTTTAAAAAAATCAGAATGTATAAAAATCTGTGCTGATATAAACACTACCCTTTCCTGCACAGTCCAGCACACCCAGATCAGGGACACGGGTGATTCTGACATGCTCCTCCCCTGCAGCACCCACAGCCAAAACCAACTTTCTCTGGGTCGAGGTGAACGTAACAGAAACATGTAAGTGCATACATCATGGACATTTTTCCAGTTTTTCTGAAGACCGCCTTCATTCTGAGGTTTTATCCTACCTCAATTTGGGACTGGGGTATTTCATAATGTCCTTTTTCTGTTAGAAAGTGACAGTGGCAGTAGGTGGTAAGTTACTGTTTAATATTTTTATTAAAAACCAACAAAAAACAAAACAAAATAAAAAAGATAGGTCAATTCTTATTTCTCTTCAATAAGTGCTGAGAACCCAGAGCCTAGGAATCTCTAATTGACAAACAGCAGTGAAGTGATTCTGTGTCTTTTTAGGGGAAAACAACTTTCGATCAAAATGTGACTTGGTTATGAACTTAAACATGGACTGAGGTAACTGCCACAACATTTTGTGACACGCTGTATTAAACGTGAAAGCCTTCAGGGCAGGAGCTAGTGGAGGGAAATGTATAAGGACATGCGAGAGGTTATACCTAAAGCCCAAATGGAGAGATGGCTTCATTATCAGAATTACTCAGTGCTCCAACAAAACATTTTATGCTGCTATGAATATATATTTCTCTTCCTGGGGTATGTACAGACTGTGTAACTTGAATTAATATATTTTCTCTTCTACATATGTCTGAATCTGTTCAATTGCAAAGCTAACATGGGGAACAGTATCTTGTAATTATACTTTAGATTATGTACTACAGAATATTATAAATATATTTATATATTTTAATAGATTACATTATAAGAGCATATAATAAGTATTTTATAGCTACCATGTGGTTTTCTTTTGTTTTATTAACTAATTCCATTCCTTACTAATCCTGCTAGCAGTTAACTCTGTCCCCATTTTACAGATGAACATTCCAAAGCTCAAAAAAGTTGAGTAACTGTCAGCTCCTAATGGCCAAACTAGAATGATGTTCCCGGTGGTTGAACTTCAAAGCCCTGCTCCTGGCTACTTTGTTGCTTTGTCTCAGCACGTATTAACATTCAAAGAGCATTTCTAAAAAGATTAAAATGCCATTTACTCCTTCAGACCACATTCTGCACTCAGTTTCTACTGACCCCTCAGAAGAAATAGACTGAAAAATACTAGGGCATGTGTTAGGAGGTACAAGAAAAATTCAGAAATTAGAACATAAATCTTTCAAAATTAAACCACAGCATCTTTAATCAAGGCCTGGCAATCATCATATCATTTCTCTGAGACTGGGACTAGTAAATGTAGGCTACCCCATAGGCCTTTAATACTTGGTTAGAAATGTATCCAAGAAGTTGACTGGAAGACAATTTATGCAGTACAAACATGAATCTGTAATTCTCTACCCTGTTACTGCAAAACACAGTTACATAGTTCCTGCCCTGAATTCACTTTGAAGACAATGAATGCCTGGGAGAAACCGTAAGAATATTGAAAATGAGGCCAGAAGTAACAAATAGGGACTGCAAAAAAACAAAAAACAAAAACAAAAACAAAACTGTTAACAGATTTCTTCTAAGAGTAAAATCTATTTCCAATTTACAACAGTTCTGAAGGTTGAACTGGAGGCATGTAATTAGTAAACTGACTTACAAGTTTTGCCTACCATCTAAAAGGGAGTTCTCTTTCACCTGTGTAATATTAAATAGCTGATAATTATATCTCCCGGTATGAGGAGATTAAAATAATAAAAATAAATGAAACACATCAATTTGGAATCAAATCTCTATTTTCCCAGCACATTCACATAAACTCTATGCCAATGGAATTCTTCTCATCCAGCAGGACGTAGATCATCTCCGCAGCCAAACTGAGTCAGGCAAGTGCCCCTCCTCCCTCACTGTCCTCCTTACCCCTTAGAGCTCATTCAAGGGAAGACAAAGGACCAGAGAGTGGTTGGGAGCTGTTTTGTGCCTAGCCCGTGGGGGTACTTTATTTTTTTTAAAATGATTATCTCAACCTTACTGTAGCCAAAAATTAAAAACAAAACAAAACCCTAAAACAAATTTCGGAGGCAGTTTAAATTAAAAATACAAAGGCCTGAGATATATTTTTAATTTATTCATAATTAGTTTACAGATTGGACCGCACCAAGACTCCAAAATCAGCAAACCACTTGGGGATGAAGGGTATTGCAATTATCAGGAGCAAGCCAAATGCTACCTTTTGTTCTTACTAAAACCTTCTTTAAAAAACATCTCCTAGCAAATGATTTTCTATTTCCTATTCAAAGAGGATTACATAGCATACACGACTAGTGGCTCGAAAGCAAAGAACTTTCCATCGTTTTATTACCTGCCAAATACAAATTAGTTCATTGTGGTTAACTCCTGCCAGGCTACCCTTTCCCTGCCTCCCATCAGGCGGATGGGGTATGGCAGGTTGGTTCCTGCCTGCAGTCCTTCCTAATCAGGAGGCTGTCAGATATACCGCCTGCCCACTATCTCTCCTACATCCTGTGGCAGCTCTGCTGTTTGGGCAGCAAGGTTTGGGGCTTGAACTGTCCCACTAACTAACTCAAAATTGCTCCGGCTTACTATCACTGTCGAATCTCTGTGGGCATGTGTGAGGGCCTCCCCCAGGTACAATAGACCCCCTACAAATTTCACTTTGTAATAACTATAGGATACAGAAATTGTATTAGCTCCATTAGATGGAGTCATAGATATATTCAGAAAGGTTAGCTGGATATAGTGAATGTCACAGCTAGACTAAGATAAAAAATCACTTTGTTAACTTAGAGTGTTTCCTCATTGGTAGTACCCTAAATTAAGGTGCCATTTATAAACAGTTTATTATTATTTATTAATGTGTGAGGCACTTTACAGCATGCTAGATAACAACTTAAATTCATGTATTAAAGATGCACATACATGGTTTAATACGATTTACGTCTTATAATATTCTTTAAAACAGCTTCCCATAGTCTCATCCTTTAAGCATTTATTACTAATGCATTTTATAACACACTTTATAATACATTATTTGAGCAAGTAGCTGCATTTAGTGATCATTTCATAAATAAGAATAAAGCATTTATAAAATGGCACCTTAATTTAAAATGTTACCTTCGTATTACTAGATAGCTGCTCACCATTCATCTTATTTTGTGATTATTCTCCAAATGCACCACTTAATAAAACAGACACCAAGTTCTATTTTCACTTCATCTGATTAAAAGTTTATTGAGTCATTTCTTCCATCTGCTTTCAAATGGTGGTGGGTTGGAGGCTTTAGTGTGATTTTTGCTGAACCCAAACTTGTAATTCAACAATATTTTTAAGATGATAATAGTAGAAACAGAGAAATACTCACCATATTAGACACAGCCTGTTGCTTTGATTCTTTGTAAAATTCAATTTTTCGACTTGAAAGAACAATCCAGGAAGTAGACCAGTTTTTCCTTGGGGGGAATAAAAAGGAAAAAAATAACATGATCACTTAAGAAATTATTCATATATATAGTATGAGCAACATTTGGACTGAATAGAGACTATATTTTTAACTAGAATTCCTAAAAGTGTTTTCTTTGTTAAAGTCTATAGGTGGTATGGAATTTGGGTAATAATAAAGACATCCTGTAATTTTTAAAAATCATGGCATTTATAGTAAATTTTCACAGTTTGTATGGCCTCCCCAAATCCTTTTCAGCTGCTAAAAATCCAGTTGTTGTCTCCCCGTGTTCCATAGAAGACCCACTTGGTAAAAAGTGTATGTCTCTACAGCAAGCCAAAAGTAGCAAAGTAAAATTAGGAATTAGAACCTATCTTTGATTGTTACTTCTCATCATTGATTTAATGTATTTCAGAGTTTGAAAATCTAAACAGCTAATGTGTTGCTGCCTAATTCAAAATATTTTTAATGTTGAATTTCACTAGAAATCAAAGAGATGCAAATAAAAAAGTGAAATGTTTTCCCTCTTTGCCAATCACATTGGCAATAATTTGAAAGAATAATACCAAGGGTTGCTGAACTTGTGAAGAAATTTATTCTCCCATAAAGTTTTGGTGGGAGTATAAACTAGCACATCTTTTGGGGAGTGAATTTGGTAATGTGTTTTTTTTTTAAGATTTTACTTATTTACTTTTAGAGAGAGGAAGGGAGGGAGAAAGAGAGGGAGAGAAACATCAATGTATGATTGCCTTTGCATGCCCCCTGTTGGGTACTTCGCCCTCAACCCAGGCATGTGCCCTGACTGGGAATTGAACCAATGACCCTTTGGGTTGCAAGATGGCACTCAATCCACTGAACCACACCATCCAGGGTGGTAATGTTTTTTAAAAAAATCTTTACAAGTGTGTATAGGTTTTGGCTAAACAAGTCTATTTCTATGAATTTAAATTTATCCTAAAGAAATCATCTCATAAGTTGTTAAGATTTGTATGCACAAGAATGAAGTACACCATTATTTCTTAATTCTCTACCTAAAATATCAAAACAAGAAACTGATATGTAAAATGCACATAACTGATTCATATAATGGAATAATGAAGCCTATGCTATAGAAAATACTGATATGGGAAGTTTTTAATGCAGACTATAATAAAATATGTAATTTGTAACACTATGCTGTACAATTTTTCTAAGATTATCCTATGCACTTGAGACCCTTCTAATTATTAGTTCTCACTCATTGGAGGTTCAAATATTATGTCCTCCAATGTGCCTTTTATAACTTTCTCGCATAGCATTTATGATAAATTAAAAAATAATTTTTATAAGTTTCACTTCCATCACCCCCATATGTAAAGAGCCCGAAATGATAGAGAGCATTTCATATTTACAGAATTACCCCAAGTGCCCAGCACAGTGGGCACATGGGCACTGAATGTGGATTCATTGAGTCAGTGATTGAACTTAAGCATGGGGGAAAAAAGTTAGGTATAACAAGAGTTAATTCAGGTGATAAAATCACAGCTTTAAATTTTCCTTTGTATTTCTCAGTGTTTATCAAAATTAGTTTCCATTTGTTATATTACATTGCTATAATTTGCCTTGGTTTATTACTCATTTCAAAATAGTTGAACTCATTTTATAAAAGTGGTTTTAAAAAATAAGTTTACCAAAAAACTTTATTCAGGTCAATAGAAAACTGCACAAAATAGGTTTAAAATGACCAGTTAAGACATTTGTGTGATTTATTTCCACTTGCCTCTTAGGATCTAGGAGCTTGATTGAAAAGACAGTTTTGATTCAACAGAGTTAATATTTACAAGATTAGGCTGCTCTGGCATGCCTGAAACTTTCTTAGTGATAGACCATCATGTTAAAAAAATTAACATGGCAAACAGCAAACAAAACACAATGTGTATTTTACAACCTGCAACTATGAGCACTATATTCTTGAATCCATTTTCCTTCAAATGAAGAGTCACTTTTTCAATCAAATGATGAAAAAGGTGGGAGAAATAAAAGAAAAAAAACCCTCATGCCCATTTCTCCTTTTATGTATCATCAGCAGCAAGTGAATTAGAGCAGCCATAGCCTTCTCATTATGCAGGCCATGTTCAAGGCCCCACAATATTGGGGTGACTGTAATATTAGGATGGCCCTGCCAGAGAACAGAGAAAGACTGGTGGTCTAGAGTGGGCATCTTTTATATCCATGCCTTATTTTGATTGCATGAGGCATGGAGTATGGTATACCTTCAGACACAATGAAACCCATATTTAGCTGCTTTTTATGTTTCCAACTATATTTTTCATCTCCTGGCAGAGAGATTCTATACCTTATTTGCTTCCTGCCTATAGCAAGCCCTAGATAAATAGTTCTGATTTGAATCTGTTTCAGATGTTGATCGTTTATAGGACTTGTTGGCATTATCCTTCCCTTCCTTAAACTTGGAACTGGAACTGGTTAGGACTAAAGTTGCATGAAATTCAATTATCTCATGGTTCTGTACTACAACTTTGAACTGCTGTGAAATGTCCCCTGTGAGGGGAATGTGATGAACAAGCCAAAGAGGGTAAGCAATGCAGCCTTGAAACCTTAGTTAGTAATAGGAATTGTCCTGACACTTTGCATACAGTACTATTTTGTTTTTAATTTAGAAACTTCAAGTGTTGTCTTTATGGTATCAGAATAAGAGAAAAGACTTTTCCAATTGGCTTAAAATAATTTTGTTTCACAAGAAAGAAAAAATGCTGTTGTCAACCTTTTAGATGCCTCAATTTCATTTTTTATCATTGCTTTAAAATGATTATTAGCATAAATTATTTTGAGTACTTAGCATAAGTTTGATTGTCTAGTGGAGGTTTAGCTTCATGAAAAAGATGCTGAAGGTACTAATGTGGAAAATGAAGTTCATAGAGTTAGGTGACTTAGGGCCACACACTTTGATTTAAAGTCAAACCTAGTTTCTCCCACTCTGAAGCCTGCACAGTCATCTGTTCACTAATTTATGCTCCTTTTTTTTTCCTTTTAAGGATTAAAAAAAGCAGCACAATCATGGATTGTCAATGAGGATTGACAATCAAGGAGACTGTCAATGTCAGATTTCATCATAGTTTTAATCAAAATCCTGAAATTATAAGTTAGTGTGCACAGCTTATAATGAGGGGTAAGCCAGGAGGCTCTCCTATGAACTACTTTACCTGATGCTAATTCGAAGATTTGGGCAAAGGCCCGGCACTCTTAAACTCCCCTCTTCCCTTAGAAGTTGCACTGACTTAAAGAGTCACACGGTGGGCCCTTCAACTCCTTCTAAGAAGCCAGAATCAGAGGTGCGCTGCTGACAGGACGCCTCCTCTCTCCCCTGCTGTGGGAGTATTATGTGATGAGCAGACTCACTCACCTGCACTCAGTCGGGAGCATAAAACTAGAAAGTGAGTCAAAAGCTTCTAGTCGAAGAGTGACTGACAATTCACTTAAAAGGAACAATTTTCAGTCTGTGACTTAGATGGGAACTCCTCTCTGAATGAAGTACTTTGGAGACTTGACCATCACCCTTACAGTATCTGTCCTGTCCATTCCCTGTCTGATAGGTTTGGCTCATTGTGTTGCCTGAGGTTCTCAGGGTATCAGTGGAAAAACTTTCTTAACTCCGTTACTTTTAACTCGCTGAGCCTTTGACAACATTGTCAACTCCAGAGAGAGTGTAAAAATGGCCAGTTGGCAAGGTTTTGCCCTGACATGAGCCTTTCATGATTTTGTATGTAACAAAACCCTATAGACAACTGTTTTTCAGTATGTTGGGAGATATTTTGGAAAGTAAGTAATTTCTGCAGGCTTTGAGGGCTTAGGCAGGACAGGAGACTGTGGCAGGATTGGATGAAACTTTTAAAATAGACCTATCCAGGATGAAGCGGTTTTCAGAATGGAAAGGAAGACCCTCTGCTCTCTCCTAGTTCCCCCAGAGACATTATCCCTAACCTCTTAGAGTTTTTTCACTTCTGGATACAAAATCTGACATTTAGTAAGTGCCTATTAAAATTATTGAGTAAAAAAATATATATGGGCTATCAAATTTCAGAAGGGTCACACATCTAGATTTTTCCTGCTCTGTGTTTGTTGTTATTCATTAACAAAAACTACAGAAGCATATGTTTCCTTCATTTGCTTTCTCTGTTCCTTAGCTCTCTGGTGTTTTGACATGTCATTCCTGGCATTAAAAAAAAAACAAAAAAACCCCCCAAAATTGCCTAACACTTCTGGTTTAGTATATTTTTGCTAATTTATAATTCTAGTGTCAATACCTGAGCTTTCTAAAGATCTTCCTGACTTGTTGGACATGTGCCATTAAGTTGACCTGTATGTATCAAGTGATTTAATCTGTAAGCCAATGAGAAGTACTTACTGAGCATCTACTGCATGACAGACACAGTTCCAAGGACTGAATATATAAAGGTAAATAAGAGAGATTTCAAGAACTTTACCTGTAACTCAGAGGACATAGGTAGTAAACATGGAAACAAATCCTCCCAATAAGACTGAGAGGTGGGAAAGACCCTCATTTTACAGATGAAAAAAACTGAAGCTCAGTGAGGCTGCAGCCTGCCCTAGGTCATAGAAGTGATAAATATGAAATTCAGGCCACATGTCCTTGACCTTCAAGGTCATGCACATTCTATTGTATCAACTGTCTGTAAAGCAGGTAGCATGCAACTCTCCCTCAGTCAGATGTATGCAGAGCCTCATGAAGTGCTCTGAGAAAGGAAGATACAGAATTGTTGTCAATTCTTGAATGTCTTTCTTTTTGGAGGAAAGTCACTTTGTGGCATGACCTGGCTGTCCTACAATTCTGAATTGCAAGTCCTTTCATTCCTACCTTCCTTATCACAGCCGACAGGTAAACTTACATCCTGGTGGGAGCCAATTAATGCCTCATCTTAAATCTTAGGGCAATCTTTTCTATTTTTCCACACAGAAAGAAAAAAAAAACCAAACTGTTCAATAGACTTAAGG